TGAGTATGAATTGACAAGCATGATTTTAATATTCACAGGACCATAAGTCTAACCTTGCCAAAGATGAACTTACCACAATCCGCAGAAACTTGCAAACCAATGGAATAGAGGTCACCAATGACTTTGTAAGCAAAAAATTTTAAATAAGTTCTACTGTGTGATTCTTATATAAGCAGCAAACGATAGCATCAAATTCATCAGTTCTCTAGATACATGTTTACTGTACAAATGTACATGCACAGGCCCCATATGAATCCCTTATTAAAAAAAATTGGACACATGTTTTATACTGAAAGTTTTGTTTTGAAAAAGTGTTAGCTAAGACATGCAGCATCCTTTTTGTCTGTTGTAGATAAGGGAAACTTGGTACCACGTCTACAGACAGTTCTTCCTTGGTAAGGCCTTGGGCCATTGTCAGGAGTGTAGGAAGGGCTTCTATTACTACCAGAAAGGATTCTCTGACTCAGGAGTAAGTTGTACATTTTCAAAGAAATATCTTGTGAAAAAAGTTTATAACGTCTGATAAGTTCAACATGTTCAATATATATTTTGAAAAGTAATATCTCAGTAAGAATTCTTAATAAGGGTGTACAGTGTAACTGTGTTTTATGATGATATATTTTGTGGCAATGTTGTATTTCGTAGATCTAGATAGGAACAGTTTTTTAGAGGCTATTTGTCATTTATTCAGACTTTTTTTAAATCACGGATGTAAAACAAATGTGTTACACCAACCTTTCTTTTTTAAACTTTAACATTATAAAATACATATGTACCATGATACTTGTATCCACCTCATCAAATCTTTATAACAATTAATATGTAGATGATTATTTTGTAGTCTTTAATTAATGTCTGTCTGCTTGTAATTACAGCTGGAATGTAATGATGTTGTACTGTTCTGGAGATTACAGAGAATGTTACAGATTACAAGTAATGCTCTCAGACAACAAGTCGTCAATAACGAAGGTAGGTCAAATTAACAATGTCACAGATTACAAGCAATTCTCTCAGACAACAAGTCGTCAATAATGAAGGTAGGTCAAATTAACAATGTCACAGATTACAAGCAATTCTCTCAGACAACAAGTCGTCAATAACGAAGGTAGGTCAAATTAACAATGTCACAGATTACAAGCAATTCTCTCAGACAACAAGTCGTCAATAACGAAGGTAGGTCAAATTAACAATGTCACAGATTACAAGCAATTCTCTCAGACAACAAGTCGTCAATAATGAAGGTAGGTCAAATTAACAATGTCACAGATTACAAGCAATTCTCTCAGACAACAAGTCGTCAATAACGAAGGTAGGTCAAATTAACAATGTCACAGATTACAAGCAATTCTCTCAGACAACAAGTCGTCAATAACGAAGGTAGGTCAAATTAACAATGTCACAGATTACAAGCAATTCTCTCAGACAACAAGTCGTCAATAATGAAGGTAGGTCAAATTAACAATGTTACAGATTACAAGCAATTCTCTCAGACAACAAGTCGTCAATAATGAAGGTAGGTCAAATTAACAATGTCACAGATTACAAGCAATTCTCTCAGACAACAAGTCGTCAATAATGAAGGTAGGTCAAATTAACAATGTTACAGATTACAAGTAATGCTCTCAGATAACAAGTCATCAGTAACGAAGGTAAGTCAAATATCTAGAAGCTTTTCTTTAAGATTATATTTAAACCACATATATTGCAACACTGACCACCAACTTTCCTTAATTTGACCTTCCTAGAACATTTTCAATATCAAGTACAGATTCCCAAGCATTCAACTATTTTTTTTTTAGCTCACCTGAGCCGAAGGCTTCCGTCCGTCTGTAAACTTTTCACATTTTCGACTTCTTCTCAAGAACCACTTGGCCAATTTTAATCAAACTTGGTACAAAGTATCCTTGGGTGAAGGGAAATTTAAATTGTTAAAATGAAAGGCCAAGTTCCCTCAAAAGGGGAGATAATCAAGAAAAGACAAAAATAGGGTGGGGTCATTAAAAAATCTTCTTCTCAAGAACCACAGGTCCAGAAAAGCTGAAACTTATGTGGAAGCATCCTTGGGTAGTGTAGATTCTAAATTGTTCAAATCATGACCCCCGGGATAGGGCGGGGCCACAATGGGGAATCAAAGTTTTACATAGAAATATATAGGAAAAATCTTTGAAAATCTTCTTCTCAAGAAACACTGGGACAGAAAAGCTGAAACTTATGTAGAAGCATCCTGGGGTAGTGTAGATTCTAAATGGTTCAAATCATGAACCCCGGGGGTAGGGCGGGGCCACAATGGAGAATCAAAGTTTTACATAGAAATATATAGGAAAAATCTTTGAAAATCTTCTTCTTCTCAAGAACCGCTGGGCCAGAAAAGCTAAACTTATGTGGAAGCATCCTGGGTTAGTGTAGAATTTAAATTGTTCAAATCATGACCCCCGGGGGTAGGGCAGGGCCACAATGAGGAATCAAAGTTTTACATAGAAATATATAGGAAAAATCTTTGAAAATCTTCTTCTCAAGAACCACTGGGCCAGAAAAACTGAAACTTATGTGGAAGCATCCTGGGTTAGTGTAGATTCTAAATTGTTCAAATCATGACCCCCGGGGGTAGGGTGGGGCCACAATGAGGAATCAAAGTTTTACATAGAAATATACATGTATAGGGAAAAACTTTGAAAATCTTCTTCTCAAGAACCACTGGGCCAGAAAAGCTGAAACTTATGTGCACATGGAAGCATTCTGGGAAAATGTAGATTTCAAAATGTCTAAATTATGAACAGTGGGGTAGGGTGGGGTCGCAATATGTATTACAAGGGGAAAATCTGGTAAAGCACAAAATGGTCAAAGCTTCTCAGCTGAGCGATGTGGCCCATGGGCCTCTTGTTTTTAAATCTAACAACTCCCTTTTAATACTTGAAATTAAGGTCAAAGGTCATTGAAAAGTATTTTTTAATTTTTTTATACTTGAACTTAGCTTAATGGTACAATGTAAAACTTGATTGTACATGTGTAAACTAAGAAGCTTAATTGTACGTGTGTAAACTAGGAAGCTTAATTGTACGGTGTAAACTTAGCTCCATTTTACATGTGTAAACTAAGCTTGATTGGACATGTGTAAACTAAGCTTGATTGTGCATGTGTAAACTAAGCTTGATTGTGCATGTGTAAACTAAGCTTGATTGGACATGTGTAAACTAAGCTTGATTGTGCATGTGTAAACTAAGCTTGATTGGACATGTGTAAACTAAGCTTGATTGTGCATGTGTAAACTAAACTTGATTGGACATGTGTAATCTGAGCTTGGACAAATGTGTTTTCTGTCTTTACAGCTAGGAGACTGGAGAGGATAATAAAGGAAGTTTTAGATGAGTTTGGTGATGATCCGGACACATTGGCCAAATTACTGACAGGTCCGCGGGTACAGCTTGCAGAGGAATTAAGTAAGTGTCTTGTAACTGAAACATTGATATTGAGATAAGAGGTTTCTTTCAAAGATACAGTGTTGCAAACTAGGTTTTCAAGAGTACGAGCATATTTACACAATTTAATCACTGATAATTTCATAGTAACTATGGTACTACTGTTGTAAAATTGACCATTTTTGTTCTCCACAGAAAAAGTGAGACAGATTCAAGAGAAGTTAGAGGAATTTATTCAAGCATTAAATAAGGAGAAATGACATGGATCATAAACATAACATAAGCAGCATCTCTGTGATTTTATTTGCATTATGTGTTGTCAGAACCTACACGACAATTCCTTCCAGTGCAGTGTATGGAGTATATGATATACAGTGAAACTTGACTAATCCAGACATCAATAGTTTCAAAGAAACTCGCGGAATTTGACAACATATCAGATTAGACAGTATATAATAGAAATAAATTCACTGAAAAGGACTTAAAGTTTACATCATATTTGGCAAGATTATGGATTACAAAATATCTGGATTATACAAGTTTCACTGTACTGTCATTTCCTGAAGTGATGTGGTGCAGATAAGGATAATTCCATTTATATGGACTTTTTTCTCAAGTGCTAAAGTTCGTTTTTCATTTTCTCAAGAGCTATGTAAACGTTTGTTATTCATTTTCTCAAGTGCTAAAGTTTGTTATTCATTTTAGATGTATGTTGTTATGCCTCATATAATGCTAACTTCTAGTTATACATTATTTCCTGTCTGCAAAATAAAATGATATGAATGAAAAGTTTTGCAATGTAGGTACATGTGTATGTAATGATTTAAATTATACATGTATGGATAAATAATACACACAATACAATATGGTAATAAAATTTGCCATTTATTTTGTCATGGTACAGTTCAGAATATATGTACTACAAAAATATGATAAATGTTGAAAATACACAATCTTCTGTTTTTTTTAAGCAAAATTATTTTAAAAATACAAATATTTTGCTAATTTTCCTCCAAGGAAAACTGTACATCTGGTCATTGGTATCATAAGTACTATGCATGTATTATTTCACAAGTTGAAATTTTAATCTTAGATGAGTTTGAAATATCCTAGCAAGTCTGTATTTTTGGGCGATTCACTCTCATAATGAATGTTATATAAACATACACAAAATCATTATGCCCCTTCAGTAAGAATATAACAAATCTGATAAGACTATCAATTATACATTGGATCACATAGATAACTTTGCTCTGTGATTTGGTCATCTAACAATGATAAAATCTTTTCGTTTTTGAATAATGAATTAAAAATACAAAAAATGGCAGTGCAATTCTTATGCCCAGTAAACTTTGTGTACAATTCCTGGGGACCAGTTACTTTTAGTTAAGGTCCCCTTATCGTGTAAAAAATTGTAATTCTATATTAATGAGGATTGTTTTATTAAGAATGTTTCTTGCAGTAGACATAAAAAAAATTGCATTCTATCCATTCATATTTTACATTTACATTGTCAAAAATGGTAAGAAAAAATGCCATTTTGTTTAGAAAATGTGTTAAGTATAATGCAGACTTGTCAACTTAATCGCAAGAGCAAACTCTGCCACAAAGGAAATGTTTAGATCATTCCTACTTATAAATTAAGAGGTCTTTCAATATACATGTAAACAATTTCCTGATAATCAAGTTTTACTGTAAATACAGGTTAATATTATCATGGCTTAAAATGGCTGAGATTAATTCTCAGAAACGACTTTCTGGCTTTTTGTTTCCATTATAATTTCGACCATAATTGTTTTTTTCCTGACTAAGTTTATACACAGAAGGCTGGACATCAAGGCAAACATCCATTTGTACCAAGCTAGCTTTCTCGCCCGTTGTTACGTTCCCATTGCAGGGTTTGGAGCGGGGAATTCCAGGACCGTTATATTTGGACGACATTACGGGGCGGGAATGGTCCGATTTTGATTTCAGATTGTTATATTTTTGTTGTATTCCCTCGGACCGACGTTCAATAAATACAACCACCAATCGATAAACTAAAAGCAAAATCACTAACGTGTTCTTGGAGGTGAAAAACATATTGGTGTAACTAAGGACATTGAATTTGAAGATTAACAGTAGCCGAAGAACCAGGAACGGTAAATCTTGAAGGACAATTGATATGAGAATCCCATACACGTCTGCGGCGCAGCATCCGTATTTGCGCTGCTTGACGTTGTAATGGCGGGAAACTAGACCGGACTGGTCACGCCGTGCACGTGCTGCTGTCAGAACGAGGGTGAACTGAATCAAACTCAGGCTCCAAAGACCAAGGATGGATATGCATAGCAATTTGTTAAAGCGTACCTGTGAAAATATCGTTATAATTTAATTCAAACTAGTGCTAATTGTAACGGGAACCGTTACAGATGTTCCCCAAACGCTCCCCAAATCTCATTTTGTGCCTAATTCCTGTAAGACATTTTTTAAAATATGATCAGTATAATCAATGAATCATAAAGGCTACAATGCTATCAACTGTATATCATTTAACGCATTGTACGCGCACGAACGTGTATGCACATGCAAGATGATTAAGGCATGTTGTCTAAACCATTAACATAATTTTATATCGTGAGAATCAATAAAAAATCATACAAATATAAATGTTACCGTTTTTTATAAAATTGATCATTTTGCGTGTTTCGCGCATGCACATGCATGCATGCATGTTCATGCATTCATTTTGATAGTACCATAATGAAGGAATCCATTATAGCTATTCATATTCTAAATTTTATCCCGTTTCGTTGAAAACTAAGAAAGTTATAGACATTTAGAGTTTCAGCCAATCAGATTGCAGCACACGTGCATGCACATGCTTTTCATGTTAATTCTTATATAACATGCTGTAGATCTTTAAAATTTATAACCATGTTCAAGATTTCAAAGGATTTTGTCGAAAAACAAGAAAGATATTGAGACTTTAGTTTCAGCCAATCAGAGCGAAGCGCACGTTGCGCGTCAATATATTTTCACCATGTCCTTTTGTTTAAGCTTCTAATATATCCTTATATTATGAGTTTCAAAGCATTTCATAAAGAAATTAAATAGTTACCTCTATATCAATTATATTGGACATTTCTCATGTTGCACGTGCGCGCTCTTGCAAGCACACGTGCATGCAAATGCTTTAATGATAATTCTTATATATCAGGCAGTAGATCTCCCTAATGTATGACTATGTTTAAAATTTCAAAGGATTTTATCAAAAAACAAGAAAGATATAGAGACTTTAGTTTCAGCCAATCAGAGCAAAGCGCACGTGCATGCGCGTGAGATCTTGCTATTTTGACCATGTCATCTTATCTATGCTACTAATATATCCTTATATTATTAGTTTCAAAGTATTTCATCAAAAATTGAAAAAGTAACGGCTATATTCATTATCTTGGTCATTTCACGTGTTGCACGTGCGCGCTCTTAAGCACGTGCGCGCAAAATGACCTTCGTTCGGCAAATCTACATAACATGTCTACTGACCCTAAAAACATTTCACCTTAGTCGGATGTGTAGTTATCACGGACAAAAAAGTGCCCAGAAAAAAAAATAATAATAATAAGAAACAGAGTAAAAACAATATGTTCCCCAACTTCGTTTGGGGAACATAATAAGAACAGAGCACTAATATTTTGCTTTAAAAATTAGAGCCCTTCCATAAACCTCAAGTATACATTGAATCAATAAATTCATTTTTATTAGTAACTGGTGTTCGGGTTTCAATATGCCATTAAACCAAAATTTAATGGAAAAGGCATATCAACAGATATGTACATGTATGGAATTATGTATTGAATTGAAATTTAGCACAGATTTTCTTGATCGAATTTCATCGAAAATTTATCAATGATAGGATATCGTTATTCAATATTCACTGTATTTGATGGTCCCTCTTAAATTTGACTCAATTACCGACAGATTTATGCAAGGCAAAAGCATCTGGACTATGGGAAAGTTAATTACTTTTCATCGATAAAATGTAACTTGATACCTCTTCTTCTTTAAAAGCCTCAAAGAATTCTACAATGTCGGCAGCCGTTCCTATGTATACCAGCAGTAACTGTGACAACTGGTCATGCGTTAGTTTGCCCTTCGGCAACATCCATCGACCCAGAATCAACAGCAACAATAAAAGCTGTTCCAGAGTGCGGATCCACTCGTCCGGGCTAAGGTTGATCGGAAGGCGGATCTCAAATTTGACCTAAAATAAATTATTATTTTTACATTGTAGTGTTCTTATGAAATAAAAGGATATTGGAATAACATGCAGCCTTTGAAGCCCCGTCTAAAATATGCCTGAAGTGGCTCTTTCATTTTAGAGAAGTGTTCGACTTGGTCGTTAGCCGACTTTCATCGTTTATACATGCTTCAAATTAAAGCAGTTTGTAAATGAACATTAACCCTATTATTCCAGTTGGGGAATTGCCCATTCTTTTGAATATACACCAAATGTTCGAAATTCTGCAGACTAACATTTAGTTTTACACACAGGTACTTGTGGACAAGACCCCCCCCTCCCCCCCCCCCATATTCAACCCCGGGGCTTATTGGACATTTTTTCACGGATTATATATACTAGTATAACACTTATTCATCATGTGTACAATATGAAAATCGTCAAAACCCCAAACTAATCGCTCCACAGCTCCACAAAAAAATACCCCACTATACATTGTAAGAGAGACCTTATAATGTTTAGTGGGGTATTTTTTGTCCTTTATTTCTAGTGAAAACTGGTTATCATCTGAAGGCTTCAAGCAACAAGTGGCCTATGGGTCACTTCGATCTTGTTGTTCTTCTAATAGCTGATTATTCAAAAATAACTTTATAATTTCTTCTAAACAAATTTAACATCATATTATTGACCAAGATCAAGCCCTATAATATAAGACGGCTGTGATTTGATCCAAGTTAAGTCTACATTAATCTACAAAAGATTTAGATGCTTGAAAATATCAGTTTCTTGAAAAAATTCCACATAACTTATATATGTTTTGCTTCTAAATCAAATCTTTTAAAATCTTATCTAGGAAAGTTTCAGACAAACAATGAACAAAAAGTTCTTAGTCCCTATCAATTGCAAATCGTAAAATGCTTGTAAATCTTGTCTTTTAATGGAGCACAGGCCAGGCTGAGAAATCTGACGATACTCAGGTGAGTACCGAAGCCCATAGGCCTCTGCTTTCTCGTTCATATGAAAAGTATTGTTTTAATACTTTTTATAATGACACATATTGCACTGCATGATATCAAAACATGTTTACAATTAAAAAGAATATAGTTTTTATAAATCTAAAAAGCAGGGATCGTGAATTTCATCGCTAACCTTGCGTTCGTGAACCCTGTAAGTACATTTTGTGATTTACAAATCAAAATTCCAATATACCAGCTGATAGAACATATATCTCCTGAGATAAGATTTGTAATATAAATATGTTTTATCAAGGCGGATCTATCCGAAATTTGTTTTTGTTAAGACATGGCTAACGGAGATGATCGCTAGCTCAGCATCGATGATGTGATTGAACGAAAGTTCGACATTCTGGCTTTCTCCAAAAAAATGTTTTCTTGTACGTGTGTGTTTCATTTTAAGAAATAAAGAGGACTAAAGATTTGTCGCATGTATATCCTTTGCAAACTGCATCTAAATTCAACTATAATTTAGACCGAAGATAGATAGATGCATTTACCGGAAGATGAAAAAGTCACTTTTCCCTGCGATATGTTTGCACACGATTTGTTTTTTCACTAAAAAGAATTAGCTCCATTTCATGTCTTCAGATCTGCAGCTAGGTAATTGGGGGTTGTGAGCCACTTACCATCAAGAAAACCACAATTTTAACGGTGCCTATAAATATTTTGTATACCTATATTAGCCTTGATAAAAAGTGCATAAATGTGTACATTAAGGTGTATAAAAGCAGGATTAGCCTACGCAAGTTTATAAATTCGACAAAACTCCACAGTTCAATATTTTGATTTTCTCTTCAAAGAGTCATTAAGATGGCTTAAGAGATTGAAGTGGTTCGTCAGCTGTTGTCAGCAAAAGATCTACATGTACATGATCACTGACGATAGAAATGCATTATGGCCGCATTTGTTTCTGCTACCAGGGGGAGCAAATGTAAAGCTCAAAGATCCCAATCTCGATAATAAGATAATATTCTTTTTGTTCACGGCCCACTTCTAAAATCCAAAAAAAGATCAAAGTCATATAATATATACTTTTGTTTCTTGGAATTCGGAAATAAACATCGTTACGTAACCACTTTGTCATGCAGACGACAGCTATAGAAAATTGAATACACTATACAAAATGATGCATTGCATCATGAGGGAAGGATGTTAACGTAATTAAATGACTGCTGTCGAGATTAGCGTGTTTAAACTGGTGATGAGAAGAAGGTTCGTCATTTTCAATCAAACAAAACCAAGCGTTTGAAGATGATATTAGTTTTTGCAACTACTAAGTTGTTTTCGTCGGTAATAAAAAATCTTAACGTGAATGTAAAGTGTATTTTGTTACGTCAGTAAATACTTTTATCAGGTGCTAAAATCTTTATTTTTCCGCCTTAATATTCCATTTACTATGAACTTTTTCCACATTTTCTAAGATAGAAATGAAAAGAAAAAAATATTATGAAAACAACTTTTCGTAATATGCAAAAACAAGTAACGCGAAGATTTCCTAATGGAATGCCATGTTTCACTATTTAAGAAGAAAGAATATATCTGATACTGATTGCCAATGGATGTTATACATCCCAGTGATTTTTTTTTTAACTAAACCTCAAAATCATCTGAAGGTTTTACCTCTACATTTGAATTTTAAGCCATCATATTTTGAGATGATCCACGGATTTAGATACATTTGTAGACTGATTTATACTGATTTCGTAATTAGAATATTTAAATCAGTAGATAAAACCAGAAGTCTCTGCCGAGACTGTAGCTCTACTGGTTTGTATTTATAATAAAGGAAGAGAAAAGTACCAGTTGGGACACAAAACTTTACAAAAGCAATAAATAGAATATTGATCCTTGATTAAGTCTCTTTTTTTGGCAAGATTGCAATTATAGACTACAATTGTAGGAGTAGCTTTTAATAAAATTTTACATAATTTTAAATTTTAGTAACCATGGCAACATCGTTCATCAAAATCAAAAACACAAAATTAATATTTAATGTATCTCAGTGTAGTCTACTTGCATGCCAAATTATATTATAATAAGACTAAAACTGTATTTAGAGTAGCATTTTGAAAGTATTTCACAGAAGTTTCTATTTTTAGTAACCATGGCATCACCGTTAATCGAAATAAAAACCAATATACAGAATTATATACCTTAGTGTAGTCTACTTTTGTGCCAAGTTACATTTATATTGAAATCAGACAAACACTGTAGGAGGAGTAGCATTTTGAAAAATTGTTTATAGACAGACAGACGGACGGACGACGGACGCATTACCATCGCATAAGCTCTTCTAGTCTCTGACCAGTAAAGCTAAAAATCATTTTGCAATATGACGTTTGCAAACATTTTGACACAAAAGTAATAAAAACACATGTATAATTTTTTTAATCCCCTTTTCCATTACTTTTAATTTAATGCATCGGCTTTTTCAACAATAGTTCGAATATTCAGGTATTTCTCTCGTCACTATAAAATTAAATTCGAAACTATCGGGGAAATGTATTTTTGAAGATAAAATGTATTTTGAAAAAAAAAGAAAATAATAAATTGCCTTACCCCTAATACGCTGCCAAGATGTGCAGAGAGGTCGTATGTTTCATTATGGATTTCAACAATATGTAAACTACTGTTGCTCATGTTTAAAAGAGAGTACATCCGGTTATCTATGCGCTTTTCTAATTCATGTAGCTCCAAAAACCATATAGCTGGCACTGTCATAGTCAGGTAAATAAGAACACTAGGACAGAACCTAAAATAGAATGATAACATTTTAAAAATTTATAGAGTCCTATTACTAAGAGTATCAATTCTATATTGCTAGAGTAATTGAATTAGTATTTAATTACTATATTTTTCATCAAAAGGTTCAGACATGTACGTAAGAAGATTGAACTTGAAACGTAGGGATTCAGGTGAACTCTACAGGCCGTGGGCCACTTCATTTGTCTCCCGTTTCTCAAAACGCGCGCAGATTTTAAATTTACCAAATTTGACCTCAAGAGCTGTTTATAGCCATCTAATTACAGGGTGGTCTCGCCACTAGGCCATGCAATAAATCAATATAAAAGTAGCTGCAGCCTAGTTATAGCTAGCTACTAAATACCGAAATCTGAGATTCCATGTAAAAGTGCATTGATTCAAACTTTCTCTGGTTGATGACTTAAGGGAGGAAATTACATCAAGATATAAATGCTTGGTAAACTTATAAACGGCAATAGTTTGGCATTTATTTGCACCAAAAACCTCCTTTCACCCACCCACCAAATGATTTCCACTTGTGCTATAATTCTTCGATTAACCGTTCAAGTTAGGGAGCTATGTCATTTATTATTTTAACAAGAAACGAAACCCATTAATCACATCGCGTTTGCCATTAACCTGCGTTTTGGGGATAATATATTTTTCTCCGATTTTTCCTCAAGATGCTAGTTGTGAGGTAATTTCGCACCATTAAAACAGTTAAGCTACATCAGATAACGGCGCGCTACGGGTCCCTCATTCACAAACCCTGCTGGATCATCTACCGAAGTTTTCAATTTAAAAAATCATAACACCTTTGGCTTAACAAATTACGATTGGATTCACAATTGATATTTCTGTAAAGTTCAGAAAGTCGCTGACTTAGCATTTGTATAATCTTACTTACAAAGCGCGTATTTGCAACAGTCAACTTTATGTGCGTAGCTGATAAAATCTAAAAGTTCAAAATGAAATATTATTCAAGAGAATCAGACTTTTTTTCTTTCAAAATGGAGTTTTACTGATTTCATTACTAAGGTACATTGTGTTTAATCTAACGAGTTAGTTGATTATCAAAGTTCGTGGAACACGAAAAAATCATAACAGATCATAAAATAATGTGCGTTCTGAAAAAAAAATAATTGAAATAAAATATGACGTGCATTTCATCGTAATATACTGAAAGAACTCCTAATTCACACCTGAAAAAACCCTTAAATCCAAAGTACTGTAGATACCACTTCACATTATACTCAGTATTTTTAAAGATTTTAACCTTAATGCTCTGGAAGATTCGAAAGTGTTGAAAAATCAGACGATATCTCTACATACACTACTTAATATTGAACATATGTTCAAGTTGTGTACGATAATTATTTTGAAAGGCGAATAAATTATATTTTGAAAGGCGAATAAATTATATTTTATTTATTTATTTCGTGTTGAAATATGTTTCACAAAATAATATTAAATTTATCTTGTTTTTTAAATTAGCTGAAAAGGTTTTGCAAAAATGACGCAATTTTTTTTTATCCCCTTCAGACCTTTGCGAAGCTTAGTCGGTAGAGTGTTCGTTCCGTGATCGAATGATCGTAGGTTCAAGCCCCAATCGCGACCACGACGTACACAAGTCGATAACAACCAATATAAATTTATATCAACTGTTCCTTCGCCAAGCGCTCGACACTTAGGCAAATGGTCCCGGTCATGTCACGGCACACACTGGCAAAATATAGACTCCCACTGCTCATGATCAATGGCCCTAAGCGCTGAGAGAAAGTCAACTTTATAAGAACTTCACCCTTAAATAGTTATCCTCTCTCTTGAAACAATCTCGAATATGACGTAAAACAACATTCAATCAATCTTACCACTTCCATTCTTTCCCTTGCTTCCTGACCAGCGTGATTGTTGTTTCAACCAACAGAAACCCAAAAGAGGTTGCCAGGTACCAGAAACGAGACTCTTGCGTCACTTTGTTCAGCAGCCATATTGAAACTAAGCCGTGGCAGGCGAACAGGAGTCGGACAACGATTGCTCTCACTATTGTACAACTGCCCATCTTATTATATCATTTCAGAACTCTGTCCAACTGACCTGCAAATTAAAAAAAATACTTTATCTGAAATTGCAACTAAATGCAAAAATCTTGTTCATTAATATGGTTATAATGTTTGCACTGCAACACTGCAGCAACAAAAATTCAATCAGCCTCCATCCCTCCAGTAACTCAAAATAATATGAAGTCCCAGAGATGGAGGAAACCTTCATTTACAAATGAGGCACAAATAGAGAAACATAAAATATTTTTAATGTATATAATAAGTATTTTATCATTTAGAATGGCATACGAGTTATAACACCAAATAAAGTTTATCGGTCCTCTGTCGCAAAGGTTCACGGAAGCTACAAAGACGGTTTTCTGAGAGAGAAAAAAAATCAAGTAGTTTTGGGTAACAGAATGTTTGGCAATATGCAGACTACATTTACTGTATATTTAAGTGTCCTGTCTTTGCTAAAATTAGTAAATGTACACCGAATATATAAAATTAATAACTACTAACATTTGTTTCTAAGTTTGGGTTAACAACAGCATATCTTGATTTAAAGGCAAGGTCAAATCAAATACTTGTTATATAGTCAAGACCATCAAACTTTAGTATAAATTGTAATCTGTTCCTTTTTAAGTGTAGATGCGTAAACGTGATTATGATACATGTATTTTGAACATAAAGGCATCCTTCACAATGTAACTACTGAAAATATTAAGTTAGAAAATAGGTCAAGGTCATTTTGAAATTTTTAAAAGTTAATCAATTCAAACGTTGGTAGCGTTACTCAAGCCACTGATGGATGGGTGTTTCGATCCCCTATCACTTTATTTAAAAAAAACTAAAAGTAAACGGTCTTTAGTACAGATGGCATGGGCAACACAATTTGCATTGCCCTATCCATGTCAGAACATAAAAACGTTATTAACATTACGCAATTACTTAAACGTTTCCCTGTTATTAAGAAGAAATGAATTCTTTTAATAATCTTATCTATTTGTAGATTGCGCATGCTCTAGCTTCCAATCTGACTCACATCTTTACATAAAAGTGATTAGGATTTTTTTTCAAAGTAGCTTTGTTGTTTGTTTGTTATAATATTCACACGTATATTAGCTCATTATTTTAATAAGCTATTATGATAGAAGGTAATAGAAGCTAACTATCAAAGTTTAATAGTTCAGTTTCTTAATTAACCGGTTTTAGCTTTTAGCTATTTCGAAAGTTTAGCGACCCCTCGATTGTGATTAAAACAAATACTAGTATCAGAGAAAAATAATATCGGCATATTTTAATAGAACACATCTTTATGATAAAATTATAAATACACATGCCTACCATACAACCAAGATACTGAAGAAGATATTTAAAAAAAAATATTTTTGAAAGATCATTTTATTTCAGTAGAGTAAGCTTGATGCTCAAACAAGAGAAGCTTATGTCTGAGGAATATTTATTATGTAGGTAAATTTCATTATCATGCAATTTTATAATTTATATCGCATGAACAGATTTTTTCATGCCAGTTTATTTTTTTGAGGTACATATTTACTTTTTCGATGATTATCCTCAAATTATTTTTTTCAAGTTACACAACTTTTTTCTGGACATTTTATTATTTTTGCAATGTAAAATTATAAACATATATTATAATTTCAATAACAGGTTCGTTCAATGATATTTTTTTAAAAATATGTAGATTACATGCTTAAAATTTTAGTTTTAATTGGTCTCTCCATATTTAAAATAAAATTTCCCAAAACTCACCTTCAAAATTCTAAAATTGTCCCCAACAATCCAACTCCTTCAATTCCGAGCATGACAAAATTGTTAAATCCTGTGACAAAATTATCGGATCTATCCTATTGATTAAGGTATCAACAACCTATGGACGTGTTAGCAAGACGGTGGCCTCTTCGCCGATTCCATTCAGCAACGGAGTGTCGAGTTACCTTAAGCGCCCTTAGATCGCAATCTACAACTGGACGCAGACGGTACGCGCAATACGGTTTGAAACATCCCATCGCAAATTCCGGATGCTTCGATGAAACAATATTTGGCGTTCTAAGAGCAGGAGACAATTTCCATGATTTCTATAAAGCATAATTTTTTTGTCCTTGTCAAAATCCAATCTGCGTACTTTAATATAAAATACTGAAATGTCAGAAAAAGTCGTTAAGGTTCATAAACCCTCTGCTCAGTCATGTAAGATGTTGCTTTAATAATAATTGAACCTTAAAGATTTTCCAAAAGAAATGTATTTTATAAGTAAAATACAAACAATTATAGCATAGCTTGCGTGGCAAAATTGGACAAAGAAGACACTTCAACTTTTCAAATTTATAAAGGGATAATAGACATTTATGTTATTAAAAGTTATCTCTCTTATCAGAGTATCAGTGAACCTTAAAAAGAATGATTTTAATCAATTTAACATTGTCTTTGATTTAATTCATTCGAACAAAAGAAAAAAGATCCATTCATTTTTATTGAACAAAAATTGAAGTAGAGAATAAAATTCAAGTCACGAAACATTAAAATCCAATTACAATGCATTGTCTTTTTGAATTAAGAGATAAACATATTATATATAGGTATTATTTAAATGAAACACAATTCAGATAAGTAAGACATGTCGTTTTGTAGCTATGTTATACATATTCTTGAATTAAATTTCATCGTACAAAGTACTTTGTCTAAAGTTGAAACCCTTTCTCTGGGTGCCAATTGATATGCTTTCATATACTACTAGTAGTATTAAAGCTTGCTTTTCAAAAAAACTTTTGTCTCCTTGATAAAAGTTATGAATTTCGCATATTTAAAAAAGAAACATTATTTAATATGATTCCTTTCTCTTTCTTTTGAAATAATACCCTTACAAATCTAATCGAAGTAAATCTTTTTTATCTTCCAAAACAATATATAAGACATGCATTGATTTCTCCAATCTCGAAGATAACGAACTTTTTAGTGAGTTGTTTATTTAAGTGCACTCAAACTACATAAAAATATCAAATTTTGTGGCTTTCAGGTGAGAAACTACTTTCATTCGTCATGCCAGATTTAAAATACAAGATCCATATGCGATAATGAGCGCAATCATTAGTTGATATCATCTTTTCATCCTTTTTATCATACATGCATTTAAGGATATCCGATCCTCAGCCAGGAAGGATAACTCCTTTAATTTATAATTTAACTCAAAAAGTCTCAAAATAAAGCTTGAAAATGAAATCTTTTCATGCAACAATTTTTATTTCATGTCTCTTAATGTGATTCAACGTTCTTTGAAGTTTTTAGAACAGTATTTAGAAAGTTTTTATCATATTTAATTATGGCGACTTCAAGCATTATTAATCTTTCCCAAAGCATTTGAATTACATAGAAGGAGAGTTAGGAGGCCTGTAAAACGCAAGGGGAAGGGGGGTCTACTGTAAATTATGCCCCGTAATCAAAGATTATGGTGTATATAGTTTTTGCCCTGTCCGTCCGTCTGTATGTCTGTCTGTCCGCAAAAACCTTGTCCATTACTTTTCATTGAGTGGGACTATGGCTTTCATATATTTCACATGTGTATTTCTTGTGATAAGACCTTTGTTTGGGCACTTACCACATTTTTCCCTCTTGACCTTGGAGTTTGATCCACTTTAAAAAATATCAAACTTTAAACTTGGTCATAACTTTTGGACAGTTGGTGATAGGGCTTTCGCACGTGTATTCATTGTGACAATATCTTTCAATTGGAATAATTTTTTTGACCTTGACCTTAGAGTTTGACCCACTTTGTAGAAAGCTTGGTCATAACTTTTGAAAAGTTAGTACCAAGGCTTTTAATTATATTTCACAGGTGTATTTATTGTGAAAAGACTTTCCTCTTGATACTTACAATTTTGACCTTTTGACCTTGGAGTTTGACTTGCATTTGAGAAACTTCAAACTTCGCCAGTACCAGCTGCATCAGTGTTTCACAAACACATCTTGTTTTACTAAATAAATGTTTTTCTATGATCTTTATCATACTCTGTATTTTTATTTGGTCAGATGTTTTTGTTCTTTGACAAATATATCTTGCTACGAACTTTATATCATACGTTGTTTTCTACAGTGTATTAGGTCAAATTTGTTATGTTTAATAAGGCTAGGTCAATCATCATTAAATATTTTGTTTTGTATGACGACAAAATATAACATTTTTATCTGAGTTTTTGATGGATTACCATTTGTAATATCTAGATATGTGTCATACAGAAAACTCGTCAAACCCCGTTAATTAGCATTAATATCATTATATCGCTAAAGACCACAAAGGCATTGTAATGAATTCAATAGATATTATACATATATTTTCCTATCGGCTGTTGATTTCTGCTTTTGTATAATAAACAACAGTGTTCTTAGATTAGAAATAAAACAACTTTGCTATTTGTTTGCCCTGTACTATACACACGTCATTCAAGGCAGTTCTCTTGGGAAATCAAAATGGCTGCTACGTCAACGCCACATTACAAACGGCTTTTCAAGAGATTTTTTGTTTTCTACCGATACCAATATCTGAGAAATGAGTTATGTGATAAAATTGTAATTTTGGAATATTAGCCAAAATATTCTTCGTTACACATTTCCCTGAGGAAGAAGACATTTGTGTAGAGAAGGGAATCAATAAAGTATTGATAGAGAAGAAAATTTCCTGTGTTTTGTAATTAAACTAATAACATATTCCCTGTTTCTGAAATGAACAGCGTGACTAAGTGATCCATTTGAAGGACATATTCGATCCATTTTACGTATTGGGTGTCTATGCTTTGACAATATTTTGTATCATACTAGTTTTCAAACTTTTAATTAAGTCATTCACATATTTTATTTGCATGCTTTTAAATAAGTGCTTGATTTTTTTTTTTAAATTTCGTTTTTGCCTATCCCCGCGCATATATAATTTTGAACCATAATATACGACAGGATGAATGAAAACTGTACAAAATTTTCTAACGTCTTATTTATTTACAGATGATGAGAAAAACATGCTTGTAGCTTCCCCACCCCCTAAAATGAGCTATAAGCTTACACATTTCCTAACACCAAAAGTGAAAAAAAAAATAGTACAAATATGCTCATGCATTTCAAATTTACTTACATGATCACTTGATATTAAAAAAAAAATAAGCATGTATCCATATTTAAAAAAAAAAAAACATGAGACACGACAAAGTTGCACAAAAGAATGCGCTAAGCCCCCCACCCCCCTTTCCCGATATATAACTTACTTTCGGGCATTTCGATTTTAATCATATACATGTATGCATATTTTTTTCATGTTTATGATAAAGTTTATTATACTCATTTTTGTTTTAAACATTCTTTGAAGTTCTTCGTAATTGTGATCTATTCCATACTGGCAGCCTCGAAAAAAAAGAAAATTAGCCTTTTTTGGATCAAAAAATGGGAAAAAAAATATAATACCGATCAAATACACTGCATATTACAAAATAAAGTTCGCTGTAATTTTTCTAAAATCTTTAATCTCTCGATCCCAAGAAATATTATAACATTTTACGTGATATTTATTCAGAAATAATCATCACCAATTTTGAAGTTCCTTTTTAAATCGGGATCGAGATTTTTGTGAATCTTCACGCTTAATGGGACCTCGAACTCAACCAAATAAAATTTAAAACTTGCAGAATGTTTTGGCAAAGCCAGAAGTCCAGAGAATTGTAGAACAATGTCATATTCTATGTACATTTTCAAAGAAAATCATCAATCTTTGTATATTTGGTATGTATGAATGGATTTCCCTCTGAATTAAACCATGTAATTTGATTATTTTATCGTAAACAGAGTAAATTCGAAATACGCATGAAACAAGAAAGACCTGAAGGGTAATTACATCATTTTAGAACATATCCACTATTTTTCCGAATGTATAATATTTTTAACTATTTCAGAGATAACATGTAACCATTCAGTAACCTTGAACTCTTAAAGAACTCTAAGAAGATGGAATTCCTGATTGGTGGTCTTGCAGCATGTGGGGCTGGATTTTTTACCAATCCACTGGAAGTTGTCAAAACTCGCATGCAGTTGCAGGGAGAACTGCAGGCACGAGGGCAGCATGCTATTCACTACAGGTATTTTTTTTCTTCAAATTTGCATATATGTCATTCAGACTAGTTTAGCAATGTCAGACTTGCATTAAATCCTGGTTTGATCCATTACCATTGTTTTTTCTTCTTCTTCTTACATGCAAAGTATTTCTCAAACATGACTTAACCATCCAACTATAAGTCATAGGAACTCCCTATTTAAGTTGATAATGAGCAAAATTATGTCCACATAGGGTGGACCCCTCTATCGGACTTGCATATGAATTGTCTTCTAATTTTTAATTTTTTTTCTCCAGAAATTCTCTTCATGCCATCAAGACAATTGTGAAGACTGATGGAATTCTTGCCATTCAGAGCGGTCTAGTCCCTGCCTTGTGGTATCAGCTAGTCATGAATGGGATACGCTTAGGGACCTATCAAGTCATTGGAAATACTGGCTTCACGAAGGACAAACACGGACATGTTTCTTTTGTGAAAAGCATTGCAGCAGGAGCTCTAGCTGGATGTATGGGTGCAACTATTGGGAGTCCATTTTTTATGGTTAGCTTTTCTAAAAGTATTTGAAAGACATATTTTGGTGTTCAAAAGATTCCTGTTGAAAGAATTGAATGACAAATTTCTAAAATTTAATTAGAAATTACTGATTACCAGTCAGGGGCATAACTTAAACAAGTTATTTTCAAAAATAACTCAAATGAGTTATTTTTTTTGTCTCAATGAGTTACTTCTCTTTGCTATGACCTACTTTTTCCCAACCTTAATAACTCAAACACGTTATTTTTCCAAAATAGCTTCAATAAATAAATAACTAATTTAAGTTATTTTGTGTCATTCCTCCCTAACTTCACACCCCGTGCACCAAAGGATTTTGCTCGTGCACCAAGACAAAAACAAATGTTTGACTAAATATAAACCTTGCTCAATGCAGAAAAAGTGTTCAAAGTCTTGGGAAAAGTGGGGAATTTTTTTTATTTAATGAATAAAATTGGACATATACACCATGTGGATAAAACCACAAAATAAGGAGTAAAATGCTGTTTATCTTCACCTCCTCACCCATTCTCCATTGGAGTCGGTGAACTCCATCTAGTATTACATAATGGAATCCCAAAATGCAATGCAAATTGGCAGGAAACACGAAATTTCCAAGAAACCAATGTCCAAGTAGGATATAAAAATAACTTATTTAAGTTATTTTTCAAAAAAAAAATTGTGTGTGTGAAAAAATGTAAAATAACTCATTTGAGTTATTTTTGAAAATAACTTGTTTGAGTTATGCCCCTGACTGATTACAGACTTGACTTCAGTAAGAAGGTAATTAAAAAAAATCAGAGCACAAGGTTTCTACTTTTTGATTAATGGTAATTTTTTTTCTTTTCATAGAGGTTATTGATTAGGCAATAAGTTCTTTGACAAAAATTAGGTTATATGTTGTGTGAAAAATGAAAGATAGAATGGCAAGCATCATGAGTATGTCAATACATGATATTAACCTGTTGACTTTGTGTTACAGATAAAAACCCACATGCAGTCCAAAGCAGCACAGGAAATAGCAGTGGGCCATCAGCATCCACACGAAAGTATGCTTCACGGCATGAGGTCAGTGTTCCGTGACTACGGATTCACTGGACTGTGGAGGGGCGTGTCAGCAGCCATTCCAAGGGTCATGGTGGGGTCAGCAACTCAGCTGTCCTCCTTCAGCACTTCAAAGGAATATATAACTAAACTTGATGTAAGTTTTTTTTATCTAGGGATGTTTTATTGTAATCAAACCAGTCCAGTCAAAAATTGTTATTTTGAATTCAATATAAGTGAGAAAAAAAATTGAGATATCAGAATTTTAGAGATCCAGAGTATTGCTTTGAGAATAAGAGTTTGGGACTTCAGTATCACTTTGTCATATTTATCTAGTATTTGAGATAGAATATAGTTCAAATGTAATTCGTACTGAAAAAAAAAAATGTAATTTTAGGCCAAAAAAAATTAATAGATATTTTCAAAAAAATCAATTTTTTTTTTTTTTTTTTTGGAAGCAGGTTTTACACCTATTTTTGTAAGTCATTTATACGGTAAAATGATAATATCTACTGATTCTTAAGTTTTGTTCTCTGCAATTAGTTATAATATGTATTCAACATTAAATAATGTTATTTCAAACATTTATTTAAAAGTTAATTGATAAAATACTTTAAATTTAGAAGAAATATATTGTTTTTCTAATAAAAACGTCTTTCTTAGCATTTATGAAAGGGGAATACTGTAGAAGTACTTTTTTCCACGTGGTATTAATTTACGCTATGTAAGCGGCCACAACTTTTCCGCGGAAATTTGTGCAAGCGTACTTAATGTAAATATAAGGCATATAGTGCATGACAGTCTAAGGAATCCGTATTTTCTTTAAACAGAAATTGAGAGGTTGAGACTGGAAAAAAGTACCTAAAACTTATTTTCTTTTTCTTGTAGAAAATTGAGTTATTTCCCTTTTCAGTATAAAATTGATCAATACCATATGCTCAACCATAATTAATTTTTTTTGGCCTTATAAATTTTTTTTAAAGTTTCCAATGATTTATTTGTCAAGTATTTTATATCTCAAAATTTCAGATGTTTCCCTCAGACAGTTGGTTGAACACATTTTTGGCCACGCTCTGCAGTGGAGTAACAGTGACTCTGTTTATGACGCCATTTGACGTCGTGTCGACGAGAATGTACAATCAAGGGGTAGATGTTCAGGGCAAGGGACTGCATTACAACAATGTTGTGGACTGCTTTGTCAAGATGTTTCGTACTGAAGGACTATGGGGCTTCTACAAAGGATGGGGCCCTTCATTCTTACGATTAGGCCCACATACAGTATTAACATTAATGATATGGGACAGACTACGTATATTTTATAAACGTTTCCAACATATATAAAGTTTGAATGTGATATAGGATTATAGGTAGTGATCTGGGGTTTTTTCAAATTTGAGTTTTACTTTAAAACTAGCTCTTTACCTCTATTTTGCCGTCGAAGTATTGTGCCTTGAAATTATTGGTTTTATGTAAAAAAATATGTACATGTATATATAATATATATTTTAGAAACGTTGTAGTTGATATTATCCAGAATTATTATTTATTGTAGTTAAGGTGCTTATATATGAAGAAATGTTGTTAGAATCAATTACATGTTGTTTTTATTTATTTTGGTGTTACTTTAGTGTACAATTATTTACACCTTTGATTGAACTGTGAATCATGAATTCAGGGATTCTTGAAAATAACGTTTTAGATTCTTAGATATACACTGAATTACAGGAATTAGATCATAGCTTAGCCTAGTAGTTGACCAGTCTAAGTGAACAAACTCTAAATGTTGACTGACATTATATGTCTATTTTCGTCCATGTGCTTCTTTTTTCTTTAAATTTCTCAGATATTCATTAAGAATTGTTGAAAAGTTTTCCTTTACACCAAACAGCACAGCTTTGTGTGATGTCTTATAATTGTATTTAATTTTTTTTTAATTAGAGGAAAAAAATCTGGTTTATTCCTATATTTTTACACTTCCAATTTCTTTGTCCATGATAAAAGTATGAAAAGTTAGTGTTCTTTATTTCTAGATAAATGTACTAGTTCATTAATTGGTGTGGTTAAAAAAAATCACAAACCAGGTGGCACATTTAGAGACAGAAGCGGGGCTTGTAGCATGTGGATTTGCGGAATCAGGAGAATTTAATTACAAGGAATAACTGTCTTTTTTTTTATTTCATGAAGATGATCAATCGATTGGCTTGCATGATAATTTTATGCAATGGTTGCCCCATATTAAATTCACCCAGTCATAGTTCTGTTTAAGAAATTGTGTGTAATAATTTTTTTATGCATAGGGAACACCATAGACATTTATGCATACAGTATTATCACGCAAACCAATCGATTTTCACATCATTGAACAAAAAAAATAGACATTTATTCCTTAAATAATTATCTTATAAGTAAGTGTTCATTAAGGGACAAAAACTTTTAATCCTATAATATTCAGATTTCAGGAAGGTGCTAAGATCACTAGGGTAGCTTTGAAATTCTAACTAATGATGAAAAAAAATGTTTATTCCAGAGTTGTATTCCTTCTATATAAAATAAGATAGACTATAAAGTTTGTATATTTTCATGTGCATTAGGTCTGATTTTCACTTTGTAACAATGTTATTGCATAATACAAAATTATTTACAATACATCTATTCTACCTTAAAACTTCTTTTTTAAAAGATACACTTTCAACCACAACATATCATAAAATTATTAGATTAAGTATTAGAACAACTGTATATTTTATTAATGAGAGGCATGTCATATCATTCTGATTAAAATGCTAGCCAGGAACCCACATACCTGTACATGTTACTTGTTCCTTGATTTAAGATATTGTAAATCACTTTTTATATGCTTTATTTTTGCATAATTAAATGAGATAGTGTGTTGGCAAAAATATCATTCTCGCAGATATTAGTACCTTTTACAAAAGTCTATCTTGCAAAAAATAAGGTATTGCAAAAATTCAGGGATCTACAGTGAGAATAAACTTTCATTTTCATATTTATGTAGTAAAAGCTCTGTGTATCAAACTCGATGGCACAGAAAAAAAATACTTACTGAAATGTGAGGATTTAAACATAAATTCATTCAGTACTTATCAAAAAATACTCTGAATTGGATGTAATGAATAGTTGATTGTGAATTAATTTAATTAAGTATTGAATCATTATCAAGAATTTTTTTTATATCATATTTGTTGAATTTGTTGAATGGATTCAAGAGCTTGTTATATTAATTTATATTTAAACTAATGAATTTTGGCATTTGTATCAAACTAGATGAGGTGCAAAAGAATCTGAAAATGTCACTGTTTAGTCAATGTGGATGTAATTTTTATTAAAGATGGTGGAAGGCAATAGAAGATACAGCTATAGGCACAATTCTAGACTGAATCTCAATGATGAATATCACTTATAAATGTAATTTATTTATATTTTATTTACTATTGCAATGGCAGAAGTAAAAAGAAATATTTTCACTGGACTATGGATTCTGGATAGGGCCATGTAGTTCAATATCTCACCATCAAATTCAAGCATCAACTATGTGGTGGATGGTTCGATGATGCAATGGCGTGATGACAGTGAAGCAATGGTACGTTGACACCATTGCGTCATCACAATATGACTTCATTGTACCATTGCATCACTGTCATCAATAGTCACACCCATCATCATCTAGCTATTGCACTATGGCTTCATTGCACCATCGACCCAAATCTCGATGGTGCGATGATGCGGTAGTGAACTACATGGAACATGGCCCTTACCAGATTCAATACTAGACCTATTTTCAGAGTAATTGATTATATTACAGTGACTTGTAATCAGAAAAAAAATGGATCAATACTGATCACATGCAATTACATTGATTACTGTTAATCTATTTCTGGAAGATTGTAAAAAAACGTGTACATAATATCTCTTCTTGGTATTTCTATATGAAGTTTTTAGAATTGTTATTTGCACTGTTTTGTAGATAATTTTGTTGATTGAAATAAATATATTTTCACAAAATCTTTAATGTAATCATATTTACTGTAATTTAATACGCCTCCTTTACTGCTGACGACCTTAATGATCAGTCTGTGTGTTGTAAATGCATTTGTTTGAAATGATTTTTTTCACATATAGTTTTTGCTTAATTTATACCTGCAGAGGAATAAACAGGAAAAAATCTTATCAAAAATTCCTTTCAAGAACTATGGGCCAGAAGAGTTGAAACTTAATATATAAAATCTTCTAAAGCCATGAATTATTAATAAGAAATATGGAAGCATCCTCTGATTAAGGTTGAATTTTCCCCAATACCTAACATATATATTCAAACTTTTCAATGCTGACCCCCCCTCCCCGATATATAGAATACTATAGAAAACTAAACTACTATATGCTTGCAGGGACGTAGCCCCCCCCCCCCGCCCTTTTTTCCCCAACATTATCTTTACTATAGGGAATGTTCATTGAAAGGATGGTTGGCCCCCCACTTTATATCACAGTATAGTGATATCAAGGAATTGTAGGAAAAAAAATTGGAAGTGAAAGTAAATTGGCTTTGAATAAGTTGGCCACAACTTCCCCCCCCCCCTTTCCACGACATAGGATTTTCGAGTTAGGGCAAATTTTAATTTTCTCTTTTTTTTTTTTGCTTGTCAACTTTTTCAGGTAAGTAAAACAAATTTTTCTCTGGTTACCCCCCCCCCCCCACTTTCAAAAACGATGCTACGTGCCTGGCTTGTGCCACCTCAATTAAAACGTCTGATGACCTTTTTTTATCTCCCCCCCCCCCCCCCGCCTCCGAACTGAAATTGCTTCCCGTTTTGTCACAACGGAATACACATGTCAAATATGAAAACCCTAGCACCAAAGTACTGGCCATAAGTTGTGGCAGAGTATAATCTTTTCAAAAAGTGAATCAAATTCCAATGTCAAGGTGAAAAATATTTGCACCATAGAAAATGTCTTAAATTATTACTAAGATGAGGTTTAGAATTCCTAGAACCAATCCTCAGAAAGTTGAAAAATTTTAAATCTTTTTTTAGAATGAAATCTATCCGCATGACACACACACACATGTATTTGCTGGTATATTACTGTGATGGCTTATATAGCTAGATTATGCAATGACCTATAGATGTATTTTACCATCGTATAAGCAGAGTATCCAATTTTGGCATTTTTAGCGAGTGTTGCCATCGATCACTAAATTTAGATATCGCTATAAATTTATTCCGCAATATATGTTACTATTAACTTTCTATGCTTTAGAAAATCGCTAACATTAGTTCTCGCTTTTTGAATCATATATGCTGATTCTTAAGGATATCCGATCCTCAGCCAGGAAGGATAACTCCAAAAATTAATATTTAATTTGAAATGTATCAAAATGAAGCTTGAAAATGATATTTTTTCATGCAACAATTTTCATTATATTCATCTCTATAAGATTCAAGGTCTTTGGAAGTCGTAGAAAAGGTCTAATAAAAGTTGACATTTGTACCCTAGAAAAGACGAAAAAATTAATACAGTTTTAGAGAAATAAGTTTATCTTGAATCAAGCCTTAGATACTAATGCTTATGAACATGATATGAAATGAGAAGTGATTTGTGGTGCCTTGCAATGATAGCAAAATCCTTTTACACTATGTATAATAGAATACATGATGGAAATAGAAAACAAAAAATACCAAAGAAGTATAAAAATTATGACAATTTCTCTGTTACCTATCGTTTTTTAACCTAAAATATATTTGTTGATCAATATGCAATTAGAAAATGCATCACTGATATTCCAATTCGCTTTTCCTGCAAAAATATTAGAGATTTGACAATTTTCCCTATATAATATGATTAACTTTAATCTTTAACTTTAAAGAAATATTACATGGATAAATTTACATAACTTTGTGGATTCAGAGATACTTTCATGATTATTTTTGATTACTTAACTGCTAATTTTATAAACCTGAGGATCGGACTACCTTAAGGACAAATCATGTAATTTGCCTCTCGTTAAAAATTCCACTTCCACGGTAGTACACACTAGTAGTTGCTTCTTACATTTGAATTGAAATAGGTCTAACTTTTGTCAAGTAATAATTTCAGATAACAAAGTAATCAATGATATACCTAAAAATTTTGATGAATGAAAAAAAAACCACAGACACAAGGAGGGGTGCTCCACTTTCCATTTGGGGGTGGGGGTATTAATCTGCCCGAATTCCAGATTAACATCAAAAATAGAAGGAGGGGGGTGCTTGTGTGAATAAGGTGAATTGCGATCGATCTCAAAGGAGAGTTCCGTTGTTCAACGGGGACTCCAGTCCTATTCCCTTGATAAAATGTACCTGTCTGTTTTTACTAGATTTTTATCGGAATTTTTAGATTAATTTATTTTCTGAATTGCGATGTATTAATACTCATATGCTGCATCAGTTTTGGTATCTTAATTAAATATTAATTGGGAAAATTAAGTATTATAATCGATAAAAAGCGCACATTTTTGTAGCTCTCTCAGACGTTACGCGCGATGTTGGAGCCATTTTACAATTTTAGAATCCGACCTATTAAACTCTTCGGTGATTTTAAAACATACTCGCAATATGGATGAATTTGGTATGATTGGATAGATTTTTAATAGAACTACCCCATTCTAGTAAGAAAATAACATTTAAATAATTTTTATTCAAAAAGTAGAATTTTAAAATGCACTTTAAACGGTATTTTAAGCGTGTAACGCGTTACATTTTTTAGCGGGGATCGCGCATTTTTCGTGTATAGAGCGTTCAAAATTGAATATAGATTTTTCATTTTCCTTATAAAACAAGAGCAATCCATGTCGATTGTGACTTTATAAACGATTTTGCATTAAATGTTGGCAAGAAATAGAACGCGATAGTTTTTACAGATGAAAAATATGT